AATTTATATTTCAAATAAGTTTTCTAATTTAATATAAAATATATTAATTTATACTTCAAATATATTACTTTTTTTTAAAAAAATAAATCAATTGATATAATATCTGTCTCTTATACACATCTAGATGTGTATAAGAAACAAGGCGAATCTAATGGTAGTAAAATCGCATGTCTATGATTAATACTTGATGAGAAATTAAGTAAAATATAAAAATAAAAATGTATCATTTATATTTTATTTAATTTTTTATTAACTATTAATTCTAAAAATTTGATTCTACTACCATTACATTCGTCATGTTGAGACGATTCCAATGAGCTATATTTCATTTTTTTCTGATCACTAGATCAAAAGTTAGCAAACTGCCTAATTGGTGTCAGTATTTGGCAAAAATGCCAATCAGTCACCGATTGGTGACTGATTGATGCCTGATTTTTCACTTTTTGACCTGTGTTACTATATCATCTTGTAGCTATTAAAGAGGGTTCTTCCATTAGTTTAAACTTTAAAGTAGCACTTAACAAATAAAACAAGTAAAATGATGTAAAACAAGTAAAAAAAGAAATGCATAATGTGTAATAATATAGTAAATTAGTGCATATTTTTATATTTAAATATATACAGTATAGATCAGAAAATTAATATATTATAATAGTATTACAATACTACCTTATAGCTATAATATTACTACCTTTTTTTTATAACTGTAATATTATTACTTTTATAGCCGTAATATTATTACTTTTATAGCCGTAATATTACTACCTTAATATAATACTTTTTAGACTTAAGGTAGTAATAGGTTGCAACCTTTACTACTTTAACACAAAGTAGTAATAATTAATTACATATTACATCCTTAAACTGAAGAAGAAAAACAAATCTTAAGTTGCTTGTTATAAAAAGAAATAACATTCTAGAAGCTGAAATTAATGAAGTTTTAAGTAAACTGCCATAAGAATGGAATATTCAGTGCATTAAAAGGTATTGGAATAATAATATTAGACATAAAAAGAAAAATAAATAATAAGTAATATCTTTTTTTTCAAATAATTTAAGGGCAATAAAATTGATTTGTAATATTAAAAAAATGCATTTTTATTACGAAAAAATGTTTTTACTTATTTAAAAAAATTTAGTGTATAAACTAACTTCATAAATTAAAGTAAATATAACTAGCATATCTTTTTACATATATTTCAGCTATTGTTAATATTTAACGATTTGAAATTAAAAAGGATTTTGAGAAAAAGACTAAAATAATGAAAAAAAATTCAAATATTTTGAATTTCTATTTTAATTAATTAATGTTCAAAAGAAGGGAATTTAATATCTAAAATGGAAGTTGAGAATTGATTTTCTGTAATAAAATCATGACGTTATATTATGTTTAAATAAGTTATCTTTGAACGAAGTTTTAAAGATTAATATTATACAAAATTATAACAATTAATAAATTGGTATAACTGGATTTGTCCGGTGATTGTTAATATTTAATATATTTATGAAATATATTTGCTGGTAAGTAAGATGCAAATTATTTATTATAAATTTGATTCTTGTAATTTTTTCTTTAAATAAGAAATATCACTCCTTTTAAGTATAATAATATATACTTTTATATTAATTTATATTTCAAATAAGTTTTTTGATTTAATATAAAATATATTAATTTATTTGATTTTTGTAATTTTTTCTTTAAATAAGAAGTATAGTCACTTATTTTAAGTATAATAATAATATAATACTTTTGTATTAATTTATATTTCAAATACATTACTTTTTTTAAAAAAAATAAATCAATTGATGTAATATATTGATATTTGATATATTTATAGAATATATTTGCTGATAAGTAGGGTGCAAATAGGATTCTGCTTACTTATAAGATAGGTTACCCCCAGGCCTAAAGTAAAAATCATATATAAAATTCTTTGCAGATCCTACTATAAAAGGAAATTTTATGTTACATTGTTATGATTTTTTTCCTTTTTAGCTAATTAACCAATAGAATTTAAGAAAAAAGTAAGGTAAAAACTATTAGTAAAAGACCAATTTTTTAC